GCGCTGGGCGGCGGGGACGCATGCGGGCGGGGGCACTGGGGCCGTCGGTGGGGCTCCCCATGGGGCCAGGAAGCGCTGCACTGGGTCGGCGGGGGGGGGGGGGGGGGGGGGGGCATGCGGGCGGTGGACTTAGAGCCTTCGGTGGAGCCCCCTTATGGAACCACAAAGCGTTGTGCTGGGCGGGGGAAGGGGGGGGCATGCGGGCGGCGGCGGTGGGGCCTTCGGTGGAGCTCTTATTGGGCCACGAAGCGTGTGAGGGTTGTGCCGAAATCGGTGTGCGGGGGGGGGGGGGGGCGCATGCGGGCGGCGGCGCTGGGACCTGCTGCGGAGCTCCCCATAAGGCCACGAAACGTGTGAGGGGTGCACCGACATGGGTGTGGGGGACGCGTGCGGGATGTGGCGCTGGGGCCTTCGGTGGAGCTCCCTATGGGGCCATGAAGCTTGCGAGGGGGGTGCCAATTTGGGTGTGGGGGACGCATGCGGGCGGTCCTGCTGGGGGCTTCGGTGGAACTCCCCATGGGGCTACAAACCGTTGTGGTGGGTGGGTGAACTTTCCAAGTTGTGTGTGTGGGACGCACGCGGACGGCCCAACTGAGGCTTTCGGTGGAGCTCACTATGGGGCCACGAAAAGCTGTGCTGGGTGGGCGAAAGTGCCAAATTGGGCGCGTGGGACGCATGCGGGCGGAGGAGGCGTGAGGGTTCTGGACAGCAGCGGCAGGTGGTGCAGCACGGCCCGGCCGATCGGCTCGCGGTGTCCGCCCCGGGGTCTCCTGGGACCCCGCACCCGCCGGCCCTGGAGTACGTCCTGAGCCTGGTGCAGGCACCGAGGGCTCGGGGGCACACGGTCGGGGGCGGCACAGCGGGGTGTGATGACTATTGGGGGGGGATCTCATGGCGGGGGCCACGATATCTCCCCAGGTTTCATGGCGCCTCCTCTGACTTCAACGCGTTCCCGGCCCCCCCCCGTGGGCTGCGCACGCGCCGCGGGCCATGGTGTGTGCCCCCCCCCCCCTCTCGGGCGCCCCCCTCTTGGCCGCCCCCGGCGCGGAGGGGCCCGCAGGGAAGTGGCGCGGAAGCTCGGGGCGGCGGCGGAGCGGGCGCGCGCGGTCCTCGGCCCGTCGACGCGCAGAGGGGGGGGGCTGCGGGGCGGAGCTGCCTGTCGAGCAGTGGCGAAGCGTCCTGGCTCGCCCAGAGGCCCGCCAAAGAAGGTTCTGAGAACGTGTTGTGGTCTGCGCGAGATGCTCTCAGAACACTTTTGGCCGAGTCCGTCATGTTTTAGCACCATCGGGCTGATGTTCTAAAAACATGGTTTTTGTGATTGGAACATTTGGGGGTTCTGAGAAAATGTCGTGGTAGGCCTGTAGAACTGCCGGGACGGTCGGTCCCTCCTCAAGCCTCTCCCACCTCGGGGGGGAGGGCTGCTTCCCCCTCCCGCCTCGGGGGGGGGGGGGGCGGTGCGTTGCATCTTCTGGGGCCCTGCTCTGTTCCCCCAGAATTGGTGCCATCAGGGCGGGCTCGATGCGGACTCGACGCCGATGTGGCTCGGATCCGGCACGGGTTCGACGTGGCTTCCGCGCGGAGTCGACGTGGACGCGACGTGCATCGGGGCGCGACGGAGGCGAGATGATCTCAGAGATGGACGGGGTACCGATGCCGCTACCGTAGCCTCCTTTTCGCATTTTGGGGCCTCCTGCGGGGCTCGTGTTGCCACGGCTGGGTTCGCTGCCAAAGTTTGGAGAACGCGCTCCGGGGAAAGTCGTGGAGCAGCGGTACGCATGGGCAGTTGTCCCCCCAGGGTCAAGGCAGACGTCCGAAGATTCCTGAAGGGTTCTGGGGGAGGAGTGTGGAGAGGAAAGGAGGAGGATCTCCAGAGGCGCCAAGCACCCTGTCGAAACGACGACGGCGCGATCGAAGGCGCGACCTGAATCGACCCCCTGCTTTCGAGTGGAATCTAGCCGTGACGACAAGAAGCCTCCATCAAAGAAACCATACAGGCACTTCGGTTCTCGAACCCCTGGCTTTTGAGGCCCAGGCGACGACGACGACGACGGGCGGGTGCACGACGACGACGGGCGCGACGACGACGACGACGATGGCGCCAGGCGCTCCAGGTCCAGCTGCAGGAGGCCCTGGACGGCGCGCAGCAGCTCCAGGACCCGACGGCACTGGCCCCTGGGCGTGCTCCACCGCCGGGGGGACCAGTCCCGTGACCACCGCGGGGCGGTGTTAATTTTAAGTCGGGCGTGTCCTTCTACAGGGAGAATATTCAAAAATAGTCCAAAAATAGTCTGGGGACTATTTTGTGATCATTGCTTCGCATTTAGGGTGCATTTTTATTTTTTTTTATTTTTCGCTCCAAATCCTCCTGTAGGAGGACAGGCCCGACTTAATGTTAATTCTCCGGCGATCGCACACATGGATCAAGGGGGCGTGGATCAGCGACGGGCCCCGTTTCCATGGGAGATCGCGGATTTCCGCCGCCGAACGAGGCGGCACAGGCCGCACATTGGAGAGGGCGCCTCTCCCGGTCCATGGATTTGGCGACCGCGCGCCAAGTCCATGGATCGCTAATCCATGCTTGCGCGCCCCCGAAATTCTCAGTTTTCCGGCAATGTGACTGTCCAATCTGGTCGGGAGCCTTGAGACGGGGGTCAATGCAAACGGGGGTCAGCCAGAGCGCCAGATCTTGCAGGATCCTGCGAAGACCCCCTCTGACTGGCCCGGGTTAGCGAGCCGCTTGTGACCGCGAGGCGGCCGCGCATATTGTGAAATCCACGAACCTTGGGTGGTTTCCACGAAATGTTCTTCTTGGAACCTTTCTGGCTGGGATTGTGTTGTTTTGACACATCGGGTTTATGTTATCAGAACATTGTTTTGGTTCTTAGACCAATTTTGGGTTCTAAGAATATTCCGTGGTAGGCCTATAGGAATGCCGGGACGGTCGGTCCTTGCTCAAGTAGACGCGTTAACGGCGATGTCGTTAACGGCGATGCAGGGTTCAGTCTTGTGGGTGGGGGGTGGTTCGTGGCCACCCCATTGCAGGAACACGCTGTTTGTGTTTTCCTGCATGCTGTTCTGCGCGAGTTCGGCGCCGCAAAAGCCCATTCCCCCAAGTCGCCGTTACCCAACATCGCCGTTCGCGTGGCCTTGATGGGTCCCCAACGCGGGGGCGCGAAGATCCTCGCGCATCGCGCGCCGAGGTTTGGGCTGGAGCGGCAGGCGCGGCGCGCTCGCGCGCGAAGGGGCGCGGGGCGCGCGTCGGCGCGAAATTAGGCGGCCCAGGAGGAGGAGGAGGAGGAGGAGGAGGAGGAGGAGGAGGCTGGCGAGGATGAGTAGGAGAACGAGGACGAGGAGGAGGAGGAGGAGGAGGAGGAGAAGGAGGAAGAGGATGAGGACGAGGACGAGGAGGACGGGGGCGAGGACGAGGAGGAGGAGGAGGAAAAGGAGGAGGAGGAGGAGGAGGACGACGAGAGGGAGGATGAGCAGGAGGAGGAGGAGGAGGAGGAGGAGCAGGAGGAGGAGGAGGAGGAGGAGGAAGGAGGAGCAGAGGAGGAAGGAGGGGTGCGCGAAGATCCGGTCGCGCCGCCGCGCACCGCGGGGGCGCGCGGCGGCGCGAAGCTGGGCGACCCAGCAGAAGCTCAGAGGAGGAAGATGTGCCCATACGGTAGGTTTGTGCGGCGTTGGCGCGCCGGCGACGCCTGCGGAGGCGTTCGAGGCTGAATTCTGCGACGCGGAAGCACCGGTTGGCACGGTCACGCCATTGGACCCGACTGAATTCCATTGTGAACGATCGGGGTCGCGATCGGTTCAACCTTGAACGATCGACGCGGTGTCAAAAACCTTTGCGCGCGCTGACGCCGCACGAACTTACCATACCGCCACTCTTCTCTCGCTTTCGCCCTGCTTGGGCCCCCTGGGATGCCCTCGTCGCCGCCGCCGGAGTCGCCCCGATGTCCTGGTCAGAGCGAGCCCTGGGAGAGGTCCAGGGAGCAGCGGTCTCGGTGCTTTTTGGTGTCCCCAGGCCCAGGAGAAGTCACGCCGTCGGAGGTTTGTCAGGACCCCGATCCCGTCGATCCTCGAATCCTCGACCTTCGCTCTACGCTCGATGCAAAAGCCTCGAAGGGCGGCCATCGACGCCGATCCTCGAGTCCCCGATCTTCGAACCTCGACGTCGGAGGTCGATCCTCAAGTCCTCGACGTCGGAGGTCTGGCATCTTCGACGTCGAGAGCGAGGATCGACGATCGATGATTCGAGGCCGCCGTCGTCGCTGCTGCCATCGTCGGCGCCGTGATCGATCCATCGAGGGTCGAGGCTCGGGGGTCGAGGCTCTGGGGGCGCTCTTGCCCCTCACAGAGCCCAGTGGCTGGCGGCGGTGGCTGCATATGAGCTTCGGAGGTGGACAGACCTCCTACCCTGACACGTCGATTAAGGAGTTGGCAGTTTACGGTTTGCGAGAGGGCGTCGCGGCCGTTATTTTTGCGGGTTCAGGTCCGTCGGTTTCGGTCCCAGGCCGTTTTCACTCAGGGGAGGTCTACTAAAGGGAGGTTTGTCCACCGCCGATCTGAGCTGGGGGCGCGATCGGGGCGTTGATCCAGTGTCAGACAACAGCATGCACATGATTTCTCCGAGGTCCGCGCGGATTCCTTGGGTCTGCGTTGGGAACCCCTGGCGGCACCTCTGGCGCCGCCCCCTGCGCGCTCTGCGGGGGGCCGGGAAGGGGGTCCAGCACCGATCCAAGAAGTCCAAATAAGAGCGCATGTGTATGCTGCCTTTGTTTTCCTCTGGTAGAGCACGATGCAGTCTTTTTCTTGCTGTGGTCAACATCCCTCGCTGACGGCCGACTGTTTTTTGGTTTCGCCCCGCCCAGGAGCGCGCCGACGCGCTGGAGAAGCGCCGCCGCGCGCTGGAGCGGCAGGCCGAGCACGCCGAGCGGGAGCGCGACGCCGCGGCGGCGCGCGCCGAGCGCGCCGAGGCGGCCGCGGGCCGCGCCCGCGCGCAGGCGGCGCCCGCGGTGGAGCGCTACATGGAGGCCGAGGTGCTCCGGAGCCAGCTGCAGGCGCCCACGGTGGGCGAGGAGGCGAGGGGCGACGACGGGCGACGACGACGACTACGGCGACGACGACGACGGCGACGACGACGACCGCGACGGCGGCGGCGGTGACGGCGACGGCGGCGGCGACGGCGACGGCGACGGCGGCGGGGTGCACGTCGACGACGACGACGGCGACGCGGGGAGCGATGTGGCAAGGGGCCGGCTCTTCGGCGAAAAAGATGCCTGCGTCGAGGGCCTCGCGGGGCCGGCCCCGTGGCCGCGGCCCCGTGGACGTGGGGCTTTTTTGCCCCACGGGTGCCACGCGCGAAGCGCATCCGTGCGACCGCGCAGCCACGCGGGATCGCGCCTTGGGATCCAGGCCGCCCATGGGCGATGGCAGGTCCCAAAACCCTGCGGTGATGGACCGCTTGGATTATGTCGGGCCTGTGCCTCTACAGGAGGAATGTTCAGAACTAGTAAAAAAATATACTCTGGGGACTATTTGTTGAGCATTGTTTGACCGTTCTGGAGTATTTTTGGGTTTTTTTTGTTGTTTCGTCGAAAATCCCCCTGTGGGGGGACACGCCCGACTTAACGCTTGGCGGCCTCGAGATCCCAGGAGACCTCACCGCGCGGTCCGGCACCGCACGGTCCTCTGGGCCCTCGGCGGCCCCGTCACCCGAGACGTCCTCGGAGAACGGCCCGGGTCCCACACAGCCGCGCAGCGGCCCCGAACTCCTTCTGCTTCACCCGCGCGGGGTGGTCACCGCACCGCCTAGAGGTCCCCGAGAGGGGCGAGGGCCGACGCTGGCGAGGGGGCGAGGGTGGGGCGAGGAGGCCGAGCTTAGGTCCGAGGGCGAGGGGGGATGGGGGGGGGTGGCGAGGCGCTCGGGAGCCACCTGCGTCGAGGGGCGGGGTGGGCGAGGGGCGGCGGCGGCCGCGGGGCGAGGAGGGAGGGGGGGCGGCTACGACGAGGGAGCACTTGGATCCAGAAAAATGTGGCCCGCGCGGGGGCGAGAGCGCCGTCCTGAACGTCGGGAGCAGAGCGCCGGTCACGAAATGGCGCCCACGCTGCAGCGGGAGCGCCGTTTGGGAACACCGGAGACGGTCCGATGGGAACGGAGCAGGCGAAGGACCAGTTCGCCAAACTCTTGCGCGCAGCAAGAAAATCAAGCAACGGAGAGGGCGGGGCACTTCGGGGTGCAGCCGGGGGATCGAGGCGAGTGGAGGGCGAGGGCCCGGGAACGAGTCGGGCGATCGCAAACGTGAATAAATCAGAAGGGGAAACACACAGACGCAATGAATCGTCGATCCCCCAGAAGATATGGGAAAATATGGGAAGTGGGGGGAAGACAAAAACCCAGAAATCATGAGAAAATGTGGGGGATCCTGCTATATGTGACTATTTAATTTGTGTGTCCCAGGGCCCCTTCAATCTAGGGGGCGCGGATTGGCGACGGGCCCCGTTTCCATGGGACATCGCGGAGTCCCGCCGCCGAGCGAGGCGGCACCGGCCGCATTCTGGGGAGGGTACCTCCCCCGATCCACGGATTTGGCGACCGCGCGCCATAAATCCATGGATCGCCAATGCATGTCTGCGCGCCCCCGAGTATGTGGTGCCCGTGGAGGCCGAGGCGTACCGAGGGCAACTGCAGGGCTGCGAGGGCGAGGGCGAGGGCCGACGAACGAGGGCGGGGAGGGCGAGGATCAGCAGGGGAAAAACACACAGACACACTTCATCGTTGATTCCCCAGAAAACATGCGAACATATGGGAATTGGGGGGAAGACAAAACCAAGAAAAAATATTAAAATATTAGGATTTGTTCTATTTGTATGTATTTATTTGTGCGTCACAGGGCCCCTTCAGAGGAGGAGGGTCCGAGGTCCGAGGGGGATGGCCGATGGCGAGGCGCTCGGGCGCCCGCTGCAGGCGGCGTGCGGGGAGGGGGATGATGATGATGATGATGATGATGATGATGATGATGATGATGATGATGATGATGATGATGATGATGATGATGATGATGATGATGATGATGAGGATGTGATGAATGATGAGGATGAGGATGAGGATGAGGATGGGATGGGGATGAGGATGAGGATGAGGATGGATGAGGATGAGGATGATGATGAGGAGAGGAGGAGGGAGGGAGGAGGAAGGAGGAGGAGGAGGAGGAGGAGAGGAGGAGGAGCAGGAGGAGAGGAGGAGGACAAGGAGGAGCATAGAGGAAGCGAGGACAGGAGGAGGCGAAGGAGGGAGGAGGCAGGAGGAGCAGGAGGAGCAGAGAGAGCAGGGAGGAGGAGGAGCAGAGAGGAGGAGGAGCAGGAGGGCAGGGAGGAGCAAGGAGGAGGAGCAGGAGGAGCAGGAGGGAGCAGGAGCAGGAGGAGGAGGAGGAGCAGGGGGAGCAGGAGCAGGAGGGTAGGAGGAGCAGGGGGAGCAGAGCAGGGAGCAGGAGGAGCAGGAGGAGCAGAGGAGCAGGAGGAGCAGCATGCAGGAAGCAGAGGCGCAGGAGGAGCAGTGCAGGAGATCAGGAGGAGCCAGAGAGAGGTAGGCAGGAGGCAAGCAGGGGAGCAGGAGGAGCAGGAGGCGGACAGAGGAGCAGGAGGAGCAGGAGAGCAGGAGGAGGAGGAGGAGGATGAGGAGGATGAGGAGGGGGAGGAGGGTGAGGAGGAGGATGAGGAGGGGAGGAGGAGAGGAGGAGGGGAGAAGGATGAGGGGGAGGGAGGAGGAGGAGGAGGAGGAGGACACGCTAGGTGCGCTCGCGTCATATCTGACGTCCTACCCCTCCCTCCCATCCCTTACCATGGCGCTGATTTTCTCTATCCGCGGACGCGTGTCGTAGCGGACCTGTGGCTCCGCGCGCGCGTGCGTAGTGGGTGGTGGTGCACGTGCGTGCGTGCGTGCGTGTGTGCGTGGTTGTCGTGGTGGTGGTGGTGGTGGTGGTGGAGGTGGTGGTGGTGGTGGTGGTGGTGGTGGTGATGGTGGTGGTGGTGGTGCTGGTGGTGGTGGTGCTGGCTGGGTGGTGGTGTTGGTACTGGTGCTGGTGCTGGTGGTGGTGGTGGTGGTGGTGGTGGTGGTGGTGGTGGTGGTGGTGGTGGTGGTGGTGGTGGTGGTGGTGGCGGTGCGGCGCGGTGGTGGCGGGCGGATGGGCGCGCGAGAAAAAGGCCCGCGCTGGGGCGAGAACGCCATCCTGAACGACGGAGGCCAAACACCGATCCGAAAATGAGGCCCACGCTGCAGCGGGAGCACGATTCGGAACGATTCGGGAGCAGAAATGAGGCCGGCGCCTCAACGAGAGCAGCATTTTGGGAAAAAATGACGCCGGCGCCTCAGCGAGAGTCGTTTCCCGGGATTTCCCGGGCATCCTGTGTGTAAAAAAAACAGTACGCGGAGGGTGCGCGGCCATCACCCGGACGCCATCAGGGGAAGAGGGAGAGTATTTTCATATTGAGTAATTGTGGAGGAGGAGGAGGAGGAGGAGAGCAGGAGGAGGAGGCGGAGGAGGAGGAGGAGGAGGAGGAGGAGGAGGAGGAGGAGGAGGAGGGAGGAGGAGGAGAGGAGGAGGAGGAGGAGGAGGAGGAGGAGGAGGCGGAGGAGGAGGAGGAGGAGGAGGAGGAGGAGGAGGAGCGGAGGAGGAGGCGGAGGAGGAGGAGGAGGAGGAGGAGGAGGAGGAGGGGGAGGAGGAGGAGGAGGAGGAGGAGGAGGAGGAGGAGGAGGAGGAGGCGGAGGAGGAGGAGGAGGAGGAGGCGGAGGAGGAGGCGGAGGAGGCGGAGGAGGAGGAGGAGGAGGAGGAGGAGGAGGCGGAGGAGGAGGAGGAGGAGGAGGAGGAGGGGGAGGGGGAAGATGATGATGAGGAGGAGGAGGAGGAGGAGGAGGAGCAGGAGCAGGAGCAGGAGCAGGAGCAGGAGCAGGAGCAGGAGCAGGAGCAGGAGCAGGAGGAGGAGGAGGCATTATGGTCACTGTTCGTCATCACTTGTTCGATCCTCTCTCAGCCTGTTGAGCGTATGCTCTGCACTACGCAAGTGTAAGCTTCAATATCTATGTGGCATCACTAACCCCCCTGAGTGTTTGTGTGCGTTTTTTTGTTGTGTGTGTGTGTGTGTGTCACTTCGCCCCAGCCGGTCTCACCTGTTCTGCCACATTGACGCTGCAGCTCTGATGCTCAAGTCCGCGCAACGTAAAAGGAGCAATTTCGGAGGAGGAGGAGAAACCTAGGAGCAACAAACAACGTGCTGATAAACAAACAATATGTTTCGGTCTCGGCATGGGGACCGATTGGGAGTCTGGGTTCACATGAGTCGATCCGTGATAAGAAACCAGCCACGATGGACGTCGGATACCAATTTTGAGCGGCTTTAGGACGTGACGGGGGAGGATTATGAGGGGGGGCGGGGCTGGAGCGACCTTTTTTAACACGTCCGATGTCTGGATCCTATTCAATGCGGCGTCCCCTGGAGTGCCACCCTTTCCCCAAGGCCAGCTTCTCATTCCAAAGGCAGCAACCAACAAACCGACGGACACTCAGTATGTTAGTAATGCTTCCCGCCAGTCCTGTGGTGTTTTGTTCTCGTCTTGAGGAGGCAGCTCCCAGCGTCACTCATTCATTCCTTCCCTCCCGCTGCCCTCCCTCCCTCCTCCCATCCCTGTCATCCGTGCCTCTGCTGCCAGCATCAGCCAACCAGTTCGGCACACCCCTCAGACGTTCCGTGGCTCCATAGGGAGCTCCACCGAATGCCCCAGTGGCCGCGTTCGCATGCGACCTTGCCATCCAGTACCGCGTTCCGTGGCCCCATAGGGAGCTCACCCGAAGGCCCCAGTGGCCGCGTTTGCATGCGTCCTCGCCACCCAGTACAGCGCGTCGTGGCCCCATATTGAACTCCACCGAAGGCCCCAGTGGTCGCGTACGCACGCGTCTTCCCCACTCAGTACAGCAAACCCCTTACGCGCTTCGTGGCCACATAAGGAGTTTCACCGAAAGCCGTACGCACAACGCGGTAGTCTCAACTGCGCATGGTTGGGTCTTCCTCCTGGGTAATTCTGCGTGTTGCCTCCTTCCCGTTTCTTTTGTTTCCACGTTTGGGGGACATGCTGTTTTTTCTTGCCACCTCGATCATAATTTGGGGACATCCGTGGCCCGCATGGAAGACCCTCGCTGGCGTTTATGCGTCAGAGTAAGGAGCTTGGCATCGCTGGGACGTGTGCATTTTTTCTCGGCGAGGACCATCGGAGAGCATCCTGGATCATCTTTCGAAACATGCACGCGCGAAACAATAACATGCACGGGGAATGGACGTCCGAGCGATGGCGAGGGAGGAGCCCGAGTGGCAAAGAGGCGACCCCACCGAACAGTCCCGAACATCGCTTCACACTGCCGAAGACGACAGCGCCCACGACGGGGACAAAGACGGCGACGGTGATGACCACGACCGATCTCATTTTGTTCGATCCCCTTCCCCCAGGGCAGCTTGTCGTCGCGGATCCATTCTTGATGGCCCTGGGGTTTGTTGGCTGGTCTGGGATGCCCAAATCGAGGAAGAACACCCAGATTGAACAACAACCAAGCTGTCGGATCTGGAAGACATGCTGTGATTGCTTGCCGCCTCCATCGTGACTCGGGACCTCTGTGGACCTCAGGGCACCCCCAAGCAGGCACCGATGCCTGAGCAGAGCACACCAGGAGGAGAGAATAAGTAGGAGCCGTTGTGGCAAAGATGCGTTCGCCGAGAACCCCTAAACAGCCACCGAGCATGGCCGAACGCAGCCGCTGACGTGGGCGACGACAATGGCGACATCGATGGCGACCACCACAACGACCCATAACATCCACCGATCTAGTTTTTCAATCCGAGGTTCCGCCCACTTCCTCAGGCCAAGTTTTTCGCTCCGATCTTTTTTCGATGGTCTCGGGGCCAGATGACGGCCCTCTTAGGCCCACGTCGAGGAAATACGCCCTGATTGAAAACATCATATCGGAGATCTGGAACGGCGACGACCACGACCTTGACCTACGGCGACCGAGAAGACCACGTCGGCGGCGGCGGCGACTGCGTCGACCTTCGGGGCACGCTGGTGACGGGCAAGGAGCTCGTAGGGCTGCGGAGGGCGAGGACGACGACGACGACGCCGACGACGACGACGAGGACGAGGACGACGAGGACGAGGGCGACGACGCGGGTGACGAGGACGACGAGGACGAGGACGAGGGCGATGACGAGGGTGACGACGACGACGGCGACGTCCACGACGACCGCGGCGACCACGACGACCTCGGGGCACGCAGGTGACGGGCGAGGAGCTCGTGCGGCTGCGGGGGGAGGTCGCCGCGCGCGGTGACGAGCTCGCCAGGGGCCGGCCGCGGCTGGCGCAGCTGGAGGACTCGGGCTATCCAAACACATGTTGCTTCGAGCGATCCCCACCACGTTGGGCCTGGCGGTCGTGGCATGCAGCCGTCACACGCTGGGCCTGGCGGTGGCGGTATGCAGTCGGCACTCGACGACAACCCGAGGCGGAATCACCCAGGGAGCACCGGCACACTTGGAGCCTGCGAGCCGCGGTGTGCAGGGTGAGATAGGCGGGTCGGGGGCTCTTCTGTTTATACCCCATCCTGTATCCTGCCTGGTGTGGAACTATAGTCAACCATGATAGTAAGGATGGGGCAACGTTCCAAGGCTACCCTGGCATCCTTGCCCCTTCGGTATTCGGCATCCTTTGGCATTCTGCTGCGCTCCGCACGGAAAACGTCAACATGGCGTTCCAAGACCCTTGCACCCTTACCGCGCATACATACTATCCTGCTCGAGTGTACCCCATCCTGTATCCTGCCTGGTGTGGAACTACGCCACAGTTGTTTTCACCTTTTGGCTGGGAACGTTTCCTGGAGGTTCGTCGCAGCTCTCGGGCTCCGCAGGGCCCTCCCAGGGCCCCCCCTGGGCCATCGACAAAACCGACCGGGCTGGTCCCAGGGCCCCGGCAGGTCGCAGGACCAGGCGTGTCCTCTATTACAACGTAGTAGAGGACAGTGGTTAAACACTGTTCTACAACCCTCTATGAGAAAGTAGTAGAGTCCTATCAACGACAACCCTCTCTACTGCAATGCAGTAGAGGGCTGTCGCGGAGAGCCCTGGCCCCGCTGGCAGTCAGGCTAGTGCGTGCCACGATACTGTGCAAACAGACCAGGGCAGGGCCAAGTCATGCAGACAAGTGCAGAAGAACCGCTGCGCTGAGGCTGAGATCGTATGCCCCTCGACGCACTGGCATGCACAGTCTTCCCTCGTGCCCAGACCAGACATGCGATCTCTCGATTGTGTTTCCCTGCGGGGTCCCCTGAAGTCCTCCCACCTTCTTCCCAACGTATGGTTTGTCATTCCGAGTTCCCCACCCGACAGGTTGTGGTTGTTAGATTTTAAGAACAGGCCTCCCGGCCCGCCCGCCGTGCATACCGCAGCCGCCAGATTCCCAGGCTGCTGTTACTCCCTGGTGGTCCCGCCCCCCCCCGCCCTGCATACCGCGGCCGCCAGATCCCCAGGCTTCCGATAATACCGACCCCCCCGCCCTGCATTCCGCGGCCGCCAGATCCCCAGGCTCCCGATAATTCCTGAGGGTCCCGCCCACCGCGCCGACTCACCTTGCGGAAGCCAGATCCCCAGGTCCCCGATAATCCCTGAGGGTCCCGCCCCCCGCGCCGACTCGCCCATTCTACATACCGCGGCCGCCAGATCCCCACGTCCCCCGCAGAACAGAGCATAACACCACACCCCCGAACAGACCAGATCCGAACATGGCATACGTAGCACCCCGCAGATGCGGATAAGAGTGAGGGGGCGGTGGGGACGTCGACAGGTCGCGAGACTCTGGAGAAGCCCGCCGCAGGCGCCAAAGTTTCACAAATTATCAGAGTGAGGGGGCCGAACGGTCATTCATTGTACCCGGGCGCGTGGCTGAATAAGGAATTCGTGGTGAGAATTCTGCTTGTTGCGTTGTTGTTGTTGCTGTTAAGCTTTCACTACTGAAGAATGATTATTGTTGAACCCCTCCCTCCGTTGCACATTGTATTTTTTTGAATTGGAGTGTCCTTCCCAGGGCTCGCACCCTGTTTTTATCAGGGAAGGTCTTGAGGCTCAAACTGTGCCCTTGCCTCCCGGGTTACAACAACAACGGCTCCCGCTTGAGACTTCCTCGCAATTTAGCCACCACCCCCGCTCCCGCCTGAGACTTCCTCACATTTTATTCCGGAATCGCGCTCTCGCTTGGGACTTATATACATATAACGGCGCACCGGGTCCGGGGGCCCGGGGCCGGGACCCCGACCACAAATGTGGGCCCCGGGGGGCCCGGAGGCTCGTCGGGGCTTGCCGGAGGCCTCCCCAGTCAGACAAGACGGCCCAAGAAGCGCCCAAGACGGCCCAAGAAACTTCTAAGAGGCCTCCAAGAGGGCTCCAAGATGCTGAAGATGGCTTCCAGACGTCCAAGGACGCCCCCAAGACGCCCCAAGAAGCCTCCAACATGCGTCCCAAGAGGGCCCCTAGACGCAAACATTGGCCCATTCCCTTCGTAAAACGTACATTTTTCACAAAGTTGCTTTTTGGGCTTTCCGACGTTACAGGACGGCCCACGAGGCGCCCAAGACCGCCCCAAGACGGCCCAAGAAGCTTCCAAGAGGGCCCAAGGACAGCCCAAGAGGGCCCCAAGACGGCCCAAGAGGCGCCCAAGATGGCCCAAGAGGGCCCCAAGACGGACCCAAGAGGGGGCCCAGAGGGGGACCACGAACCGCAAGCTCGAGCCTTCCGCCCCAAGAGGCCGCCAGGAGGCCCCAAGGAGGCCCCTCAAGAGGCCCCAGGAGACCCCCAAGAGGCCCAAAGGAGGCCCTGAGAAGCCCCAAATCGGCCCCCAAAATGCTTCGAACCTGCTTCCAGGAGGCCCCCGACAGGTTCAGAGGCTCCCGTCAAGCTACGTCAAACTCCCAGCGAGAATGATCCTAGCTAGAACCTAAGCGCGCGCGAAGCGCGCGCGTGGTTCTAGTTTACAATGTATTCAGGAATCGCTCCCTCGGCGCTCTGGAGTCGCGCTCTCGCTGGAGACTTGCTTGCAATTTTCAAAAGTATAGCGCCCTTGCGTTGGAATTTCCCGCATTTTACTCAAGCGCCGCGCTCCCCACAATCAGGCACCCAGGAGTCGCGCTCACGCTTAGGACTCCCTCACAGATTCTTTAGGAATCGGGATCTCGCTGCCCTTCGTGGCCCCGTTGCAGCCCTTCGTGGCCCCCTCGCTGCCCTTCGTGGTCCCGTTGCAGCCCTTCGTGGCCCCCTCGCTGCCCTTCGTGGCTCCGGTGCAGCCCTTCGTGGCCCCCTCGCTTCCCTTCGTGGCCCCGTTGAAGCCCTCCGTGGCCCCCTCGCTGCCCTTCGTGGCCCCGTTGCAGCCCCTGGTGGCCCCTGTTGCAGCCCTTCGTGGCCCCCTCGCTGCCCTATGTGGCCCCGTTGCAGCCCTCCGTGGCCCCCTCGCTGCCCATCGTTGCCCCGTTGCAGCCCTTCGTGGCCCCCTCGCTGCCCTTCGTGGCCCCGTTGCAGCCCTTCGTGGCCCCCTCGCTGCCTTTCGTGGCCCCGTTGCAGCCCTTCTTGGCCCCTTCGCTGCCCTTTGTGGCCCCTTTGCAGCCCTTCGTGGCCCCCTCGCTGCCCTTCGTGGCCCCATATATGCATGCCCTTCGTGCCCCCCGCTCGTTCGCGCCCGTCGTTTCCCCATATGCATGCCCTTTGTGGCCCCGCTGTCGCCCTTTGTCGCCCCCTCGCTGCCCTTCGTGGCCCCGTTGCTGCCCTCAGTGGCCCCGTCCCTGCCCTCCGCAGCCCAATATACGTATGCCCTTCGTGGCCCCCGCTCGTTCGCGCCCGTCGTGGCCCCATGTGCATGTCCTTCGTGGCCCCGTTGCAGCCCCTCGTGGCCCCTGTTGCAGCCCTTCGTGGCCCCCTCGCTGCCCTTCGTGGCCTCGTTGCAGCCCTTCGTGGCCCCCTCGCTGCCCTTCGTGGCCCCGTTGCAGCCCTTCGTGGCCCCCTCGCTGCCCGTCGTGGCCCCGTTGCAGCCCCTCGTGGCCCCCTCGCTGCCTTTCGGTGCCACGTTGCAGCCCTTCTTGGCCCCTTCGCTGCCCTTCGTGACCCCTTTGCAGCCCTTCTTGGCCCCCTCGCTGCCCTTCGTGGCCCCATATATGCATACCCTTCGTGCCCCCCGCTCGTTCGCGCCCGTCGTTTCCCCATATGCATGCCCTTTGTGGCCCCGCTGTCGCCCTTTGTCGCCCCCTCGCTGCCCGTCGTGGCCCCGTTGCAGCCCCTCGTGGCCCCCTCGCTGCCTTTCGGTGCCACGTTGCAGCCCTTCTTGGCCCCTTCGCTGCCCTTTGTGACCCCTTTGCAGCCCTTCGTGGCCCCCTCGCTGCCCTTCGTGGCCCCATATATGCATGCCCTTCGTGCCCCCCGCTCGTTCGCGCCCGTCGTTTCCCCATATGCATGCCCTTTGTGGCCCCGCTGTCGCCCTTTGTCGCCCCCTCGCTGCCCTTCGTGGCCCCGTTGCTGCCCTCAGTGGCCCCGTCCCTGCCCTCCGCAGCCAAATATACGTATGCCCTTCGTGGCCCCCGCTCGTTCGAGCCCGTCGTGGCCCCATGTGCATGTCCTTCGTGGCCCCGTTGCAGCCCTTCGTGGCCACCTTGCTGTCCTACGTGGCCCAGTTGCTACCCTCAGTGGCCCCGTCGTTGCCTTCTGTGCCCTGTGCCCCCGCATTATCTGCCCTTCGTAGCCCCCGCTCGTTCCAACTCTTCGTGGCCCCATACACGTTCCCTTCGTGTCGCCGCTGTCGCCCTTCGTGGCCTACTTCGTGCCCTTCGTGGCCCTGCTGTCGTTCTCTCTCTCTCTCTCGCACTCGCTTTCGTTCGTCGTCGCCGTCGTCGTCGTCGTCGTCGTCGTCGTCGTCGTCGTCGTCGTGGTTGGTCCCCTGTCCGTCCCTCTTGGGGTCGGGCTGCCGCCGATCAGCGCTGCCGCTGGCCAAGCCGACGGTCCGCGGCCGCCCCGCCGCTTGCCGGGGCCCGACCTGCAGGGAGGAAAGGTATACCCCCCAAAAAAGTCACGATCGAAGACGAAGAGGGCGGATATCGAGGGTTTGGGAAATACGCGTTAACGGACACTCGAGCAGATAAGAGCGACCAGTCTTCAAATGGTTGCTGCTGTTGTTGCTACTGCTGCTTTGGACGCGTCTGCGCGGACAAGCTTCGATGTGACCACCTGTACAAGAGAGGTGCACCAGCGATCCACTATTGGGACGCTGGTGCGGTAGCGGAGGAGACGAGCACCGCAGTGGCTCGCCCCAAGAGGACTGCAATCCACTGCCGCCAATCGCGGA